ATTGTAGAAAATAAAAAGAAGGAAAAAAGGAAGAAAAAGAATAGAAGGAGAGAGATGAGCAAAGTGTATCGGTGATAGAAAATTAAGTACATTCTTTTGGTCAATATTTTATTTATTCCTTCATTTTTTAGTTTAAACAATTTGTTCATTCGGGAGAGTCCCCGTAAAATGAATATGATATAGTAAATATGTTCTTTTTTACAATTTATACCATATACACAATGATAATAATAATAATAATAATAATAATAATAATAATAATTAAGAATCCTAAACATAATAATATAATAATCAAAATAATCAATAATAATTAGAATAATAGTAATAATGCTAATCTATAAGGCGCAAACATAAACAAAATATAGGGTACACGTTATGGTGAAACCGTCCCCGTTAAATGACGGCATTTGTGCTACTGTATGTACGCATTTACAGACCGCTTATCAACCGCTTATACGTCATTTCAGCAACATCCTCGTCTCTCACTTCATTTTAATTTATTATTTTTAGTAAAAGGCGCTCTCGCTCCCACTCTCTCCTCAATCCGTTTATAAGCTGAGATTACTATAAAATAGGTAAAAAAGCCCTGTTTCACAAAATATCTCGCAAATATATAGATATATATATGTATATGTATATATTGTCACGGGTCTCTTTCTCCCACGAGTTTTATCTCAACTGTCGCCATTATCTCACGTGGTACGTTTTACTTTGTTTTGTCCTCCTCTCGCATACGAGCATAAGTCAAAAACTGTCGATCCGTCAAAATTAAATATGCGTTTTGCATCGCGCGATTTATGTCGAGGAATAGCAAAGCGCGCGCAAAAAATGAGGAAAGACATTCGATCAGACACCTATAAAAGGCAGAACCAAACCGAAGCCAAGAAAGTTCCTCGGCTTGTGTTGTAATCGAATGAAAATGAAAGAAGCGAGATCACACGCGAAAGGAAAACAAAAATGAGCACGCCGACAAAGGACTATCATCTAGGCGACCGATTTATTTAAATCAATTTACGATCTCAATTTATCAAGTTTTTTTTTTGGCAACATGAGTAATAAAAGGGAATGAGATAGTGTAACTATTAAAGAGTTTTGCCTTTATATTAATCACTTGATGTACAAGATGAGGCATCTGGAACGTTTACGAAATACATTCGTCGAAGGATAGAATATTACAAGTCACTTCGTGTGACCGCTATGTAAATTTTGTACTTCCTTTCTTCCACTACATGTGTCGAAAAATGTGTGTACCAACGACGAAATATATAAACAATCCGTAATTAACGAGGAAGTTGTATTGCTACAGTGGATAATGCGCACGGGCGAAAATTTTGATCGATTGACGCTATCATTCAAAATTCGTGCAATTGCGCGATTAACATGAATCATGTAAAGTCCGAAATTATGTACGCGAGTAAAGTTCGATCATGCAGCGTCAAATCAATCAATTAAATTTAATTATATTATGTTGTAATTTCAACAATCAAGAATTGATATATTTCCAATATATAATTGTATCTAATATTTAATCGTATGCATGATTTTATAAAAATAACTCGTTTCTTTAGTCACGCGTTATTGAATCTTATCACATTATTTTTATGCGATCGTTGCATTTCCAGCAAAAACGATAATTATACTTAACAATCATTACAATTTTTTTCTTAATTTTTAATATGCTGCTGATCGAGCTCTCTTGCATAAAACAGAGAGAAAATAAGAGGATTTCGGTCGAGATGATTAACGTAAGTCGGTGTGATTAACGTCAATTACTTTAGACATACCTTTCTCTTTAGCGAGCAGTTTACTGTCGCTTCGTTTATAACGGAAGCAACTTTAAAATTCTTCTAACAATTAAAATATTTGCGACAATTTTGCCCTATTTTACATCAGTTTGCGGTGATTTGCGGTGTGACTCGACCGGCCACATTCGTTATTTGTGTGTATTCCGGAAATTACGCGTGTATCAACGTACGTGTATCAATGTTTGTGTCAACCCCCTCCGCGCCAATAAATATAATAATTAACAATTAAAATAAATAGAAGAAAAAGCAAATAGGTAATTATATCTCATTAAGCGATATAATTTGGTCTCTCCTTGGTGCGGTTTGTCATTCACATGATTGTTCTTCAACTCTTTCTTCTGGTTAATCCTTTCGATTAATCTTGCCTATTATTATTCCTCCAATCCTCCAATTTATTCTTCCGTCTCCATGTCTGTCTGTCATTAAATGATTCGTTAAGTATGTCGTCAGTAAACAGATAATTAGTCGATGTATGTAAGTCTAAGCTTGGTGTATATGTGTATACATATATCTATATGTATATATATATCTCAGCACGTGTACCACATGGTCGTAATAGAGACCATCGTCTGTCGCATATCTATTGCTTGCTCGACTCGACGAAACTCCGCGTCTCACGAAGGGAGGGTAGATTCTCTGGAACACGTTCACAAACATTATCACAAACATCGCAATACAAAAATGATATTACATATGTGTAACACAACCGTTTTTCGCGGTTCTAATCCGTTTCATTTCATAATCAGGCCGAGCGTGATAAGCACACGTTTGAAAGCCTACGGAGGTACAAGAAACAAATTATAATTTGTAAAAGGACGAAAAGAACAGCTTCTACCCTCGCCGTCGTACGCAGAGTTCGTGTATAGATCGTATCGTCGTTATACACACAATCAACGCAATTAATCGAGTTATGTGTGTATTGCTCGGTACAACCAGAACAATACGATTGCTTTGCCAGCATCGGAATACGCTGCCGTTAAACTACCCTATCCGTTTGCCCATCTTCCTTTTGCAAAATCACCATCTTACAGCCACCGCGCATCGATTTTTTTTTCTTTTTCGTATGGGCTCGGTTTAAGAATTTTACGTATCTCGAATATAAAGAAATACTTGAATGGTTTGAAATTTTTCACAATCATCGAATAAAATACAAAATATATATACATTTGTGTGTGTGTCTCTCAATATATAACTTTTACAATTATTAGGTATAATAGAAAAAGAATACAATAATCTTATAATATATAATTTAAATATGTAATTTTGTAATATTATTTAATATAAATTATACATTAATACAATAATTAAATTATAATAATTCAGAAAAAATTATAATAATCGTAATTATATTATATATATATATATATATATATATATATAAAATGACATACATTTGTAGTCTTTCCTGGACATAATTATTTAACAAAAAGGTCTTAAACCGAGTTCTTTTACAATCTGTCAACATTGACAATCATGGACAGAGCGAGCAAAGGAACTTATATACTATTTTTGTATACTTGGAGGACTTTAATGATGAAAGATTATGTGAAGAATAACGTGTTAATTAATCTGCGAGGGCTATTTCAGACAATTAAATAATAGCAGGTATCGCCGTGACTGTTTGAAGGCGAATTTTTTTTTCTTTTTTTTTTTTTTTTTGGCACAATCGCAATGGATGGGAAAGTTTAGCGGCGGCTAACACGTTTCTTCTGCATTCGGAATTGAGTAATAGTACGCCATATATCCCGCACAAATATAGTAAAATAATTATCAATGCAGTGTAATTGTTAATAATGTAATAATATATATGATATAATCCATAATTATATAAGATTGCGTTTGGGGTGTGCGTGTATGCTTTGTCTCTTTAACATATATATGTATATACACGCAATATATATTGTATGTATATATAAATAATATATACATATAAATATTTTACAAGTACGGAGTGGTGTGTAATAGAGGGAAGGGGGAGACTAAGAAGACTAAATTAAATGGCGCTAACTAAATTCTCTACCGAGGTCATTTACAAATACGCACGCGATATTCTGGCCCGATCCCGATACCCATCGTTCCGTAGTGAAAATAGGAATAATATACATTTTTCGCACATGACGCACGTGCGTACGCCAACGGATTTGTTTTCTTTTTTCACGCATCGCTTTACCTCGTTTTCGCGTTATCTCACTCATTAAAATACATCTCAAAAGAATGTAATAACAATATTATTTGTAACATAAATGTTATATATAAATAGTAACATCGTTACTGTTACTATTACATTATCATTATAGTAATTATAATTATTATTACTGATTATAACACTGTTATTATCGCCAATAATATCTTATCAATGTTAACAATAACAGTAACGATAAACCTTAATAATTACAGCAAAAATCGCACGATACAACTTCGCGTAGCATTCATTCTGCTCAATAAAAAGAAAAAAAAGCAAAGAAAAAAACGAAAAGAAAATTAGAAAAGATCCAGAAAGAAGCACTTTCTGATCAAAACTAAGCATTGCTTATCCAGAACACTACGGAGCAACAGCACCCTTCACTTATCTTTGGAAATTATACAGGAACATAGATCAGCGCGAAATCATCGAAAAAAATATTTAATAAAAAAGAAAATCTATATAATAAATAGATATAATTTTCCATCCATCATGTAGCGAGCGCGAATATTTATCCTCTTTTTCAAGTTGTAACAAATATTCTTTCTCTCGGTTTTCTGCTGTTCCTTTCCCGATAAACTTCGCGAATTTGTGATTTGGGACTTTGTCAAATTTACGTTTTTGTGTTCGTTTCAGACGGTTGGCTTGGCGGAAAAATGGGCCTGATATATGTATCTGCTATAAATATGTGTCTCGAAAATATCAAAGCTCCTTAATAGATTCTTTTTTTTATTATTATTTTTATTTCTCTTCTCTTTTTATCCTTTAGCACTCGCGAAATATAAAATTGTATCCCGTGAACCATTGGACCGCGCTTAGTAACTATGGGCCGTCATCGTCCCGCCAATCCGTCTGCTTTCATTTAGATCTTTGTTTTTTTTCTTTGCAGTTGCTAGCTGCGACATCAACAACAGCAGAATGACTTTATCATAAGAATTGTTTAAATGACAATTGGTCCTACGTTTTCGGAGAATGCTGTTTATTCTTCTCCGATCTAATGGGGTTTGATGCCCATTTGATTTGATTTGAGGAATTAAATTCAAATCGGATATGTTAGACTACGTTATCACGTTTCCATCGATTTTGTGATTAAAAAATCGAGTCATCACAAACTCGGCGTTATCGAGAAAAGTAAACTGGCAGCCATGCTATTAATTATTATATATATTATATAATATATATTATATTATATAATATATAGTATAGTTATTAGTTACATTTTCGCTGATAAAACGCGATTCATCCGAGAGTGTCATCAATTTCTCATCGATCGTGGGAAAGAGATGCGTTTGAAACGTGAGACGAGCCGAATTTCCACGAACTTGAATAATGAAGTTATCGTAACAGATTCGGAAATTCTCCCCAGCGCGATTGGCCTGTCGATATTGAGAAGCGATTGTAAGAACGGGGACAGAACAGAAATCCGTTTGAAAAATTCTCAAAGAAAGAAACCGCGTTAATTTTCAACGAACAAATTCAACGGATATCTCGTCATATGTTCATTCATTACGTCTCTTCTTATATTCTTTTTTTTCCTCTACTTATTTGTGATTTCTCTTTTATCTGATTCTCGACAAGAATTGTGGTAGCAAAAATTGGGGCGGGCCGGTCTATCGCAAATTCAATCGGACGATAGACCGCCCTCAAGACGGCGCAGCACTCTCACAAATACCTATTTACAAAAATATACACATGAGCAACTTACTTATCCGTGTGTATTTGCTTTTTATTCACCGTTTCTGTTATCATCTCATGTCTACGCTGTCCAGCTCTCGATCGTACATCATTTATCATGCCTTGTTCTTCCCTCGTCTGCGTTTCATTTCATCAAATGATGCTATGTATGGTATATGTGTATGCGGTATATCTGTACTTTTCTTTTTTTTTCTTTTCATCTAAGAACCTCTACATATCCCCCGGTTTTTAACTCTAGATAATGTAAATAATATGTATCGGTAGTCACATTTGTTACTGCTTTTTCTGTGTTGCATATTAATTATTAATCTAGTCTAAATTACTTCCCCATGATCTATCTACAAAAAAAGAAAAAAAAGAGACGACGTTCTTCGCACGTAAATGTTAGACGTAACTATAATACATCGTTCGATCTTGTTGTTGATCCTGTTGCTCGCGCATCTCTTCACCGAAAACACTTTAATTGTCTCCTCCCCTCTCTCATCATTTTATCACGATATTATCCCCATTTGCGAATACAACTCTGTCATCTGTTCCCCTATACTGAAACGCGGCGCCGGCGCGCGAGATGCATTCTTTCTGTCTGATTTCGTTATTATAAATATATTCTTATCTTTATATAACTATTTATATATTTATATAGGTAATAAACTATATATATATTAAATATGTATATATTCTCGTTTTATTCATCGCACTTGAATCGCCGAAACGATACTCATGCTTCAGGTAACGTCGGCTGTGGCGCACCGTGAAGCGAGAACACACGGGCGCTTTTCAGTGGCACTTCTACTACCCCTTTGTGATTTCACACTTTTTATCCTTTTTATCTTCGTTCTTCTTTCTTTCCCTCTTTTCTTTCTTCGCTCTGACCTCTGACATCTCTTACATCGATATCTACATGCGTTAACTTACAAAAGCGGACACTTCGGAAAAATAGACACAAGTTATCACTGCGGCTCGCTAGGAAATTTAATCGCTCGTTGGCGAACGCCTCAATATCATCTCCGCTCAATGATTCTTCAATGCGCCTCGAGAATAAGTAACACGTGCTCTAAACAAAGTGCACGAGGTTCGTTATGCACCGTGGTAAGATAAGCAGCTCCTCCTTCCGTCCGGCTGCTTTTTCCTTGCGCCTTTCAGGCACACGCGCTTCGCAATTGACTATAAACTTGCTGCTAAATTTATCTGAAGAATGCCCCCATACGCAGATCGTACGCAGATCGCCCGACTAAGGGAGATCCCACGAGCTCTGTTCTCGTTTTCTCTTTCTAGAGATTGCCATGACCCTCGTTATCGATTCAGTCGTACCCCCGAGACCACTTTTCTTAGAGAAAATAGTCCGTGATTTCACTCGTCATCGATACATCACCGTCGCTTCTTCCTATTTCTTCTACATCTCCGATTGCCTAACCAGAGATGATGTTGTAGTGATTAATGCAGTATCAACACAACTACGTAAACATGGTCGGGTAAGTGACCATGTTTTGAGGAAGGGAGGTAATGTAGTTTGGGGTAGGTGGTCGGGGGCTATGCCACTGTGGTCAGAGAGCTCGTAACTTCTTTATACCCGCTTGAACATATCGCACGAGCTCGCGCAATGAGCTATACGAAGTTAGGGGTCCCAATCTTCGATCCAAGTCAATAAAAAAATCTAAAAGCACGAAGATATAAAATAGTAATTAAGATCGGAACGAAAATCATCTGATATGTTGATTAATTTTTCATACATACTTTTATGCTCCTCCTGTTTCGCCTGTTTTATTGCCTGGTCCCATAAATCGTGACCGTTTGTAAGTAATCCTGAATACTGATTCTGCTTCATCATCGCATTGTATACGTGCAATGGCACACTAACATATTGGCCTGATGTTGCTGGATGTTGTCCGCCACTGCTATATCCAGAGGAACTCTGACTGCCAACTGAACCTACAGAACCGGCGGGCGACGGCGTAGGTGAAAGAGAAGGTGTACCTTGTCCCTCCGGTTGCACTGGAGTTGTCTGAGCAGGTTGCTGAAAATACCAAAATAAAATTCTTAATCAATTATTCAAATATGTATCAAATTTTACGTGCAAGATAATCATAATACTGTTTAAAATGTATTCAATCAGATAAATGATTATATAATGTATTACGTGATGGGATAATGAGAAAAGCTTACCTTTTGATTGAAGTCATTGACAATCTTTTGGACCTCTTTCACTTCCTGTTTGCGTAAGTTATAAAGTTTGGAGTACAAGCGCGACTGGCACCAAAGACTAAAAATGACAAATAACAATCGTGGTTTTGAGACTGTTACAAGACCGATGTAATACAGCGAACTCTCGAAAAAAATATTCACCTTAGAATAGCTAACTTCGTATGTATACTATTCTCGGGTGTATTGTTGGATTGGCTCTTGAATTTTGACGAGATGTATCTGCAAAACAAAGGGAAAATCGGGGATCGCTTTAATTAGCAGACGCGCTCTCTTCTCGTCGTGCCTGCGCACGTCTTAATTAGAAATGTACTCACTTGATGAGACTAAGAGTATCCTTGTACATGGTGTACGAGGCTTTCTCCGTGACTGGGTCCGACTCCATCGCATCACCAGTTAGAAGGAAGTAGAGAGCGGCCTCTAAATACATCATGCCCTGCGCTGTAAGCTCGTTTTCCTCATCAGCATTATGCTTCAGTCGCTTAGCTTCAGTCAGGTACTGGTCATGGTCCCTGAAACGCAAATTTCGTGCGTTCAAACATACTGTCATGATATTAAAAGATTTTTTAAGTCATCAAAAAAATTTATTTAATGATATTATTGTAAGTTTATCTGGATTAATAATTGACTAAATTGGACTAGTAATTTATGTTTAATCTGAATCAGCATAAAATAAAATCGAATCAGTCATCGTGCATTAACATGTTAATGTAATGAGTATATTTATATAAGTACATTTATATAGTATATTTATATAAGTATATTTATATAGTATATTTATATAATTTATATAAAAGATTCAACTACTTGGAAAAATTTGTCAAATTTTATTCTCCCATTAACAAACTTATTAAGATGCAAAGAGACTTTACCTATCCTGATCCTCCAAAATTTCATTCTGTGGATCGAAGTAAGAATAGTAGACGCGCTGAGCTGGAAGAGGTGGTGGCGGTAATAAGCTCGTATCTTGTTTCTCGTCCCTTTCATGATTCGTTGGTTGGATGTCATTCTATTATGAATTATCAAAATATGATTCCATAAAATTGTCATTTATATCAGCATTGTCCATAATAGGTACCTTCCTTTATTGTCCTCTATTCCATCTCGCTATTGCACTGCTTAATTCTTATTTATTATTATGTCTACCATGCAATGAAAAGTTTTAGATTGTTTGCAAGACAGTAGGAAAAGAATGGTACCCCCTATGCTATTCTTGAACAACGCTGATTTATATCACAATATATGCTAAATAAATTATTCGACTTAATTATTTTATATAAATAAAATTATATTTATATATATATATATATATATATATTTTTTTTTTTTTTTTTTTTTTTTTTTTTTTTAGAAAATTAGCATTGGTAGGTAAATTAGCATTAGAAATTCATTAAATCTATGATACTAATAAATACTAATTATAAAAGTACTGTAGGCTTTTTCAGAATTATGTAATTAGACTATTTTTTCTTTAAAACTTTTTTTATAAGGACAATATGTATATTAATATTGTGTAATTTTTGCAAAAAAAATGATTGAATTGAAAATATTAATATTTATAAACAAATAAAAATATTTTTAGTTAAAAAATTATGTATATGATTTATTATATATATCATATAAATATATAATAAAACATATATTGGAAGTCATGGCTGATTGAATAATGCAGCGGAAGTGTCTCCAATATCTCTATCTATCCTTATCGATAAAATTAATCCAAAATGATAATTCGCTAAATATTATAGCAGTAATAAATTACAGAATTTTGGTCTTTACATAATATAAAATTTCTTATATAAATGAAAAGTGTATCTTAGAAATGACTATTTATAAATTTATAAAAGTAATCTTGATAATACTATCCAAGATCACATACTAATATTACTATATAATATTTTGTTTAAAACTTACAACTTTTATATTAAATATTTTTTCTAAAATCCTAAAATCAAAATTTTTGAAATATCAAAGTTATTTTGTCCTAATTTCTGCACATAAATATTAACTCTTAGTGTGACCTAGTATGTTAACTGTGACTTTTGCATACGCAGGAAAAATTGAATCAATTTTGATTTATAATAAAATTTCTTTTATATAAGATCTTTTTTTATTTAGATCTTTTTTCTATTTTGAAAGATTTGTAATACATTTAAGATTAATGTATATGTATAGCAGCAATAAACAAAAACAAATATGTATATATTTGGGCAACAGAAATCAACCATGATCTTTCCGATATACATATTCTAAGATATATAAATAAAATAGCACACAAATGATATAAAACTTATATTTAATATTTTTAGAATTTACTTACATTATTTGCGGTAATTTCAAATTTTTATATTTTTAGGAGGTAAAATTTTGAAAAAATTTTGATCATAAATATGCTTGTAAAAAAAAATATATTTTCAAAAAAATTATGATATAATTATACAAAAAAATTGAGATATTTTATATTTTGTTTTTTCTTTGTTATATGACAATGTTATGTTTCCAGAAGAATACATGTAAAAATCTATTTCTTATTAGAATAATTTCAAATCTACATTGTGATTCGCCATTAGAATAATTTCAAATCTACATTGTGACTCGCCATTAATTTTTTTATGTCAATTTAAAAAAAGAAAAGTAAAATTTTTAAATTTTTCCTTTTGGTAACAATCTTAATACGTATATAATACGTATATATATTAAAGATGTAATTCAAAAGGCGATTATATCCGCAAAATAAAGTTGTTATATTTTTTAATTTTTTGTTTGAAAATTGAAATGCATACTTGAGAAGACAGGCCGTCATTCGTAGCATGCCTCCGTTGCCTCTTGCGACTCCTGTCCTTATGCTCGGATGAACTCTTGGTTTTCGCATCCAATGAACACTGAACAGGACTCAAACTCGACACGGAACTACAACTCGGATTACGTTTCCTCTTGGGCGCATTACCGCCACCGATCGCACTGGCACCACTATTAGCACCACCGGTACCACTTTCTAGCAGAGGACCACCGTTTTTCAGACCCGACTGAGCTTTGATCACAGAACGCAACAAATTTCTGTCAACATTATTACCCAATAGACCGATATCGGTGCGATGAATCCTCGCACGGTCCGATGGGATTTGTTGCGGGGGCGGTGCGTCAACAATTTCTCCCTCCTCTGGCGTGGGCGGCCTCGGTGGTTGCGAAATCGCCAAGCTAGAGGACGGTCTCTGTCTCGAAGATGGCCTGGTATCCGGTAATTCCGTACGTCGTCTAAGCTCCTGTCCTCTCGCTAATAGTAATATCTGCGAAGATATCCTGTTGAGATCTACCTTGCACATCAGACTTGGCACGCCATTCACGTGGGTCAGCGCGGGGGATGAGCGCAAAAGTATATTGTTGCCACCACTAGATGTCCGTGAAGATGGTCTCTTGTAAGGACTATCTCCGCCAGTCGGCGTGGCAGAATTACTTGTGTACTCTTCCACATAGATACCACATTTACCGCCGCCTTTGCCACCTTTTCCACCTTTGCCACCACCCTTCCCACTTCCCTTCGAGAAGACGTGGCGCAACGTGTCGCTTTTCTTTTTATCTTGCACATTACCGGCATCATCTTCTTGTAATTTGGACGCCGGATTGTTGTCACTGTCGGAGTTATCAGGTGAGGTCGTCCTCGTGGGTGGTATTCGCGGTCTCGGAATTACTCTACAATTAATAATAGTTCTGTTAATAAACTTTATTTGCTAGGTTTATTAAATTAATAAATAATTAATAACAATACAAGAATTTATAAGAAATTGCTCGTTAATCTGACGCAAAATCGCTATTGAGTATTGTATTTTCATAGTATTATTAATATTTTCATTAATACACATACATACAAGATGTCAAAAAATTATATGTTACATTCTAATGATAAAAGTAGACATAGACAATTTTTTAAATATTTTTTTATATTCTACAACTGTTTGCGAGAAAAGAATAATTTTAAATAATTACGAAAAATAATTTACCGAGCAACTTTGATGCGATTCCTTACAGATCTGTCCGATTCACTGTCGGAGTCAGAACCGGTGACTTTGGTTACTCTAGATTTTGGCCGCCTAGGTTTGCCCTTGGCGGGACTTTTCTTCTTGTCCTGCTTTTTCGACGAGTCCGACAAATTATTCCGCTTAATGGAGGAGACTCTTGCCCATCGTGCGGCGTCGTCCTCGGAGGCACTGTTATTTTTTCTATTCAGCGGCGGTGAACTCTCGTCCTCGCTGGACGACACACTCAGTCTCGATTTCTTGTCATCTCTCGTCGGCACCACGGTCGATATTACTTTGGTAGATCGGCGATCGCTATCCGAGTCACTCTGTGATCTCGAGTCGCTGTCGTTTTCGCTTGTACTCACCGTTTCCTTCGATTTCGGCGGCTTTTTCTTACTGGAAGTACTACCAGCCGTCCTCGTCCCGCTGCGCGGCTTCTTCAAACTCTCGTCTGACGTTCGATGACGTTTCGGACTTTTATTCGATTTTCTAGGTCGCCCGCGTCTTTTAGTATCGGTCACCTTTGGCTTCTCCGTTTGAGAGCGATTGTTGTCTTCGATCTGATGAACCTTCTCCTGATCGGAATGATGATCGCTGTCGCTAAGAGAGCTTATATGAGTTCTCTTCAAGGGTTCATCAAGCTGCCAATCATGAGACTGTTCTCTATGCGCTCTGCTATTCTCCGTTTTTATCTCAAGCGTGTCCTCTCGTCTAACGTTATCCTGGAAAAATTTTATCGTAATCTTTAAAAGATCTCTTATATACAATTCGAATTTATATAAAAGTCAAAATCAAAATCTTGTTTTCGAAAATATCGTTTCCTTAAATTTTTAAAGATATCTACGACCGATTAATATAAAATCGACTTACTTGAGCCGGCTTTGATTCGGAATTCTGATCTTGCTGTACCGGCTTGTTGAAGAAGGAGCTGAGATCCCAGCGACGTTCCTCCACGGCAGGTGGTGGTTCCTCGACCAGAGTTTCCTGCTTCGGCGACACAGACGGTGGCGTCGTGGGTCCTTTGGCCGGAGGCTGCGCCGATGTTACATCGTCCTCATCCTCGGAATCCTCGCTGCTGTCCGACCCGGAATCCGTGCCAGAGTCCGAGCTCGTGCTAGCGCTTTCGGAGCTCGGTGGCGCCTCCGCTGGACTCGATGGTTGACCGAGGTTGACGATCGGATTCGTCGACGGAGGGCAACGCACCGTATGACTGGCAATGCCAGGCAGAGGTGACATCGCTTGTTCCGGTGTCCGCTTAGGTGATGGATATTTGGGCGGACTGATCGGCCGTGGTGGCGACAACGGTCCAATGGGTGACATGACTATGGGCGATAAAGGTGTCGGCGCTGATGTCATTGCTGGGATCAGCGGCGTTGGAAGGCTGTAAGAATGCGAAATCAAATAATGTGGAAAATTGGATATTTTAATTTACGGTAATGCTATCGGCATAACTGAAAAATTGTCAACAGTGATATAATTAATTTAAAAAATTTATCATTATTGATTTTATCTAAAATTACGAAAATAATTATATGTGTATCTTAATAACATGAAAAATTAAATAAATGTATAGACACCAAAAAGTTACGATATTTTCAAAATAACTTTTTATTTTCTACACACTGCTTCCTACTCTCTTTAAAAAAAATAAAAGTATTAAAAACATTGACTATATTTATTCGAAAAATATAAGTTTGAAATACAAAAGGAAACTTGAATGTCTCAAAACTTTTAAAGTTTCTATGTGTATAAAATAATTCCTATATAATTAATATTTTTATAAAAGGTAATAAATACTTAATAAATAAATATATAATTAATTAATATTAATATTTGTTAATAAATAATAAATATATAATTAATTAATATATAAATAATTTTTCTTGATTTTTCTTGACTCAAATTAATTTCGACAAAATGTGATTAATCAGGATACAAATCAGTTACTTACACGACTGTGAGATCTGGACTCCTGTTTGCTTTCGTCGGTCTCGACGATGTCTCCTAGAGAATAAAAAGATCAGCTATCAGCAATTTCACCGTGAAATAAAGTGGAACGGAATTTTTCTTATCGCGATAAATGCTTTTATTCAATCGCGACTTGATTGTATCGTTTTGCGAAAGTACTCTGCAATATTCTGTATTGTAAGAAGGAAAGAAAAACCAAGCAAACGAAAGTTTAACTTTTGTTTAACGTCGAGTTTAAAAATAACAGATTAGAATTAAAAGTCTAATGTTCATTATCTCATTAATATGTAATCAATATCTAATTTGTAAACTTCAATATCTAATTTGCAACTGATAATCATAATTCACACTTTATTTAATTGGATCGTAATTAAGATATAAATATAAAAAATCTGCATTCACAGAGACGTTACCTTTTCCTCATCTTCACTATCTGACAAGTGCAAGTCCCCCTCGAGATCACTGTAACAGAAAGAAAGCGTCGTTCAATTTAATCTCGAGAATGAGAAGCACTGGCTCGTGTGATTCATCGAAGTGCCTTAGTGAAGTGAACGCTGAGGGGGATTTATAGCTCACTGTTTAACGCGATCCTTCTGAAATCGCTCGAGCGCCACTCGTCAAACAAGGAAGCCCATTCGGCGCAACTAGATGCGAGAGATTTTAAACGGCTGCAGCAGCAGATAGCAGTCAACAGAAGATGGAGATAATTTGATATCACGAACGATGAGCATACTCGATTAGAATCGAGAAGAGAGAGAGAGAGAGAGAGAGAGAGAGAGAGAGAGAGATATGCATGCGAGGAATACACGTGCGACTGCAACCTGTGGAGCATCGCATACTGACAATAAGAAGGAGCAATCATTCATTGATTCTTCTTTCTAGAGCGACTATTTTGTCTCTGTCACTCATCCCTTAGCGTTTCTCGCATTCTACGATGGTTCCCCTTGAAAAGCCTGAAGCTAGAGTCAGTTAATTCGAATTGAATGCAATTGGAAAAATGTGAAAATTTTATATAAAATTTTTGTTTAATAACGAGAAGGAATTTATGACGCATGGGAAAAAATGGAAATATGTGTATTATTATTGCGGACGATATAAAAATTGCATTAGACTTCTAAATTCCTAAAATGAAAATTTCACAATACGCATACAGGTGTGCCTCGCAGCGGTTGGAAGCTTAAAAAATTATCAAGATGAAAAGCGCGTGCAATATGTAATGCATATTATTTTATATATGATATATATTACGTGTAATCAACGTATATTAAATTACACGCGAGATAATTTATTGCTTTCGCTCTCGCGAATGCTTAAATGCATTAAAAAGTTAGGATATTAATTTCAAGTCACGTCGTTCATTATCTGCACTCTGAATCGGCTCTCTCGCTTAATTTAATAAAGTGGATAATAATAATGTATGCTTCCTGGACAAGGTCATGTTTATACAGGCAACAAAAAATGTGAAATCCCTAATACAGCTGACTCAACGAAATACATTGTTTTTCGAGCATCGAGAGATTTACAAGATAACACTAAGAGGGAACTAATATATATTTTTGTATGAAAATATCATCGAGATTAAAGTCGGCTCTATGAGAAAAGCAGATGGTCGAAGTAATTGCTTCCGAGTAAGCTCGTTGCATCGCGATTCCCAGAGATTACCTCGCTCTCGACGAACGCTCCTCGGACAAACTGTTGAACGGCGATCGCAATTACCTGCTTCTACGTCATTAAGCAAATACGTCGTTTATCAGTTTGCCCTTGGAATTAGCCGCGTTTAATTTAATAAGAAGGATAATCGCGCGTGTGTTGTCCGGGCATCTCGAGAGCGCATCTTTCGCCTTTCTTTGTTGTTGTTGATATTTTTTTTTCCTGTCCTCGAGCAGAGCGAAACGCGCGGGGGCGGGAGAGGACGCCTTCGTCCTTTTTCGATCATCGCGAGAGACATGCGAGCCTCTAAGGACTCTGTCCGACGAGTATCCGGCCGATGTGGAATAGAGAGAGCCCGGGGACAAGGCCGGGGCGAGGATATAGTATCCGGCGGCAGAAAACCACGGTGTGTGTGTGTGTGTGTGGGGAGAGAAAGAGAGAAAGAAGGAGATAAAGAGAAAATACGTAGAGCACCGAACATCGATGGCGCACGGTGGAGGGCATCGACCCTCGATGCACTGTCCTACGTCCGCGCGCTCTGCGAGCGGTGCCTTGTGGTTTCGCCACACTGACTCTGCGTGCGCTAAAGCTCGCTCTCTCGCCTCTGCCTAGCATCTAACTCGATTGACAAGGCTGCACGAGGATTTTACTTGCTTGAAGATGTTGAATTTTTCGAAAATTAGGAAGGCTTGTTAGAAAGAATTTGCGAGACTGAAAGGGGATATATTTTAATTTATACTTAAAGTTTTATTAAAGTTTTTTAAATGTGTCGTATAGTTTATTTACTCTTAAAACTTTTTATCACACTTTGTAGTTTTTCTTTATTTTATATTCTTTATTAGATTTTATTTGCTTGAAGAGGTTGAATTTTTCGACAATTACGAGGGCTTGTCAGAAATTGCGAGATTGAAAGGGGATATATTTTAATTTACAAAGTTTTATATAAATGTGTTGTAAAGTTTATTTACTCTTAAAACTTTTTATCACATTTGTAGTTTTTCTTTATTTTATATTCTGGGTGTGAAGAAATATAACATGACTTACAAAATTAATCAAAAATTGGGTTATTTATATAGAAAGATATTTGCATCCTTCTTGATAGAACAGATTCATGCATCTTGCAGAAGCTAAAAAATTCATTTTTACAAGGGATACATGGAATTTTATTTCATCAAATTCGGGAGTAACTGTATAGCCGTATTGTCCTAGAGGAGCTAATAATAGCCACGATTTGATTCGAATTACGCCAACGTCTAAGCTTCTGCTGACTGGCTCGCCGCTGCCAGCAAGAAACCTGCTAAATCGCCGCACGAAAGAGTTTAACGATCGCGTCTCGAACGGTACAAATTACTCGGCTTCGTGGGAACGTTTACAATTTTAGAACCGTACCGTTCGACGTTTGCGCTTTGTTATGAGCACGCGAGTTGCATTTTTCTCCGGGGAAAACGACGATTAATGATAAATGCATGCGATTTATCAAAGCACATACTTCATCGTTAACGAGAGGCGCGTATCCGAAAAAATTTCATCAATTTTACCATTCTATTCAAATATAACTTTATATTCTCAATTCCATTATTCTCTATCGAAACATAAATCAACGTGATTAATCATTTGTTCTAGTCCTATTCCATCATTTAGTCCTATTTCACTTAAAAATTTATGCTCGCAAGTTTCTGATTTATTTTCCGCATATTAACGAATCAAGAAAATATTTCGCACTTTTTTGATTTTTTCATCATAAGAAGAATTATTAATTTCTCATGTGATGTTCGACATTCTTTTTTTAAACTATCATTCTGAATAATAAATAAATATGTAATAAAGAAATATATATAATAAATATGGAATAGGATAATTAGAATTTACGTAATAGTTTTTTGCAATTTTCACGTATCTATGTACTTGAAATTCACTCCGTTCTCTACAGACTCTTCACGATTTAAATGCTTAAACGGGCGGTGAGAACGCGGTCCATTGTCAGTCTCCAACTGTGTCGTTGGCGTTGATGCAACTCACCGTCTCCCTTCGGCGGTCGGCGCCTCGGTAAAGGAAGGGAACCTGTTCGCGCGAGGCGTTCCTTTAACCTCGCGTTCCGACATGCAACGGAACCGTCGTGGCCGTGTCGTAAGCGTGTTGCTCGGAGGAGACACCCACGTCGAACGTGTGCGTGTGCGTGCGGACGGAACGAGGAAGAACACGTATCCGGCGTCGAAGAAACGAGCGAAAAACGTTTCCGCGAGCGTAAAAAAAAAAGGAAAACGAGAGACGTTTCATTAAAGGGAAAGGCGTGAACGAGAGTTCCTTCTTTGATAAGAACGAACGAGGGAGGAAAAATCGAGATTAACGAGCAAGTGTCATGTTTTCTTCAGACGTGCTGACATGAAGATTGTGTAAGAGGATATAGGATTTCAATCGTGAAGGAATTTATACGCGATTTTGTCATATTTGACAGAATTTAACCCCTTTGTCGTAGTATTACTTCAAAACTGCTTTTCAGAATTTCTAAAATTAAATTAGTGAAAAATACATGCACATTGTATATATTAATATATGTAAGATTCTAGATACATTATTATATTAACAATATATTAATAATATTAACAATATATTAACAATATTATTAACAATTTAATATATCAGTAACACAGCTCGTTAAATGCTAATGACATCAAATAATAATTACGACCAATAAAAGACTAATTGTAATTAACATTGTATGAAAATTAAATGTTTTCTACAAATTACTGTAATAATATTCTACTTTGCTACAGTTTTTAACACATTCCTCTTCTGGTTATTATCAAAAATATAAATCTTGAATTCGGTATTATTTTAATTTATCTCTTTCAAAAAAAGTTTAGTTAAATACATAAGCGAGGAAAGCATTGAAACACAAATAAAATAGTAAAATAATTTCAACTAATTATTTATATTTTATTACACTTCAAATTTCCCGACTTTATTTTTTTAAGAGTTAGTTGAAGAATTAATAAAATCGAGACTGATATGATTAGCGATAAATTAAATTTTCTGACACGTTACACGTTGACGAGTAACAGGACTCTAGTCTATAGCTCTAGGGTAAACGACGTAAAAAAAGGATAATGATCTTAATCGAGGGCAAGTTCGCAGGAACCTCGTTTACGAGCTTCTGCCACGCGGCGTCTATTCAAAGCGTTTGCGCGAACAATCGCCCCGGTGTGTGTCTATTATCTATTATCTCATCTGCCGCGCTCTCTGTCATCGTGTTCGTTTGCCACTCGTGGCACGTGCGCTTTTACCGTTTCGTTACAATTGACAGGCGGCTCCCGAACACGATTTCACAGCGACGCGACATCGCGAATGCAATCAGATTAAAAAAAAAAAAAAAAAAAAAAAAAATCAGACAATAGAAAGCGTGATCGCATAAACTTGTCACGATATATGAAAGACATGTTCATCACGTGTAAAATGCATGTGTGTATCTATAAAAAAAAAAAAGCGCAGTATCAATATGCGCATTTCAAGAATGATTCCAATTATAGAGACGAGATAAATATAGATGGAATACGCAAAAACGGAGGATAGCGCGGCAAGAAACTAATGGGTTAATCGACATAATTAACGCGCAACATCCCCGGTGACATAACGAAAGGCAATATCCGCGTTGTTAGCTCGCAGCCTTAATTCTTCTCCATCGCTGTCTAGCGGCACGATACGATAGCATGTAACCGTGTATGTGTGCATGTATGCATGTATATGTGCTCGGAATTGAAGCTGGTGTAAGTTCTGCTTGCTATTAAAGAGAGGGAACGATGAGAAGCGCAGAA